CTACAATCAACTATTAAAGACTAATAAACAATATGATGAGATTGATATGTATTGACCTATCAAGACAGAAATACTTAGTGAACTTGGGGAGCATAGAGAGCTTACACTTGTTTGACTAGATATAATTGAAAAAATGTTATTATTCAGACCCAGCTGGGAGCTGAACACTATATAGCTGCTCGCTCACCTTCCCACTCTTGCTCCTCTGGTGGGATGGGGAAGATATTAGGGAGAAAAAGGCAAAGCCATGGGGACTGAGATAAGGAGAATTTAATAGAACAATGCAAGAAGAGAAGAAACAACAGTAATAACAATAATAGTAATAATAGTAATGAAACAATACATGAAGTGAGTGATATAAAATGAACTGAATTGCCTAAATCTCCACTGACAGTGTGGGCCAGAGTCCCATCCTCACCCTTATATAGTGGACATAATGCCAGTGTGGTATCAAATATCCCATTGGCTGGTTCGGTTGGCTGTCCTGGCTGTGGCCCCCTCCCCACTTCTGGTGAAAATTAATCCTATCCTAGCCAAACCCAGGACAGAAAAGCAGCTACCCTTCGTGCTGTGGTTTCAGAAGAAGTCCTTGATTGTAGTCTTGGTTTATGATATTCCACAGCCCCGGCCACACAGAGCACTGTTGCTGTAGTTATGTTGGCACAGTTATATGCACAGTTCCTTATGCTGTGAAACATGAGCAGAAATTACAGATATGGTTTGACAAGGAAGCAAACAAAAATATTGTGAAAATAGTTTGGGTTTATATTTATGTTTGTTTTTCAAACTTGACACATCTCTGTCATGCAGACAATGGGGATGCCCCTCAATAGTAATGGTAGATTATAGCACAGGGATGTGAATAAGCACCTGAAGAAACATATGAAATCAATATCACTCAAAACTAAGTTTCTTGAAACTTTGCCCTCTGTCTACAACACTTTTTACAAGGACCCAAGAAGCCTAAAAACTACAGTTATATATTGGCTGGATACTGCTGCTTTTAGTCTTGTTCATCACTTGAGGATCTCTTTCTCTGAAGTAGTTTAACATCACTCTTTATTCCAGAGGCATTACCAAGGACAGAAGTGACAGAACATTAATCTGTTGGAAAAAAAGGGAGGTGAAAGTTCAACCAATATATTTCTGGGAGGGATTGCCTACAGGAAGATTGCAATAGGCCAAAGAATCCAATGTCTCTTTTGAGCTCTTAGTTTCTATACAAGAGTGGTGAATTTTTACTGCTAGATTTATCTGTTAAAAGTATTTTGTAGATGTCCTTTGAAGAGTCACACTTGAGAGACTATAAATGTACTGAATGTTGCATAAAATATTTTCTGGAGAGTAACTGTGTTTATCTTGACTATATGAGCTTACTCTATCACATGATGTCTTTTTAGTTTCAGCCATGTATTTCTATGAGGGTATTAAGTACAGTGGATGTAGTATTTTCTGTTTTTAGGATAAGTAAAACTAGAAGCTGTTTTCTGACCCAAACAACCTCCTCCTCCAAATAAAAAGGTTCCCTCATTTGAGCACAAAAGTGATTGCAGGTGCCCATTTTTGCTTTATGTACAGGCATTGCACACACCATCAGGTAATTAATATTATTGTCTTTCTCTATTTTACAGCTAGAAAATTGAGATCCTGTATATTCAAAGAATATCTTAGGGCCAGGGAAGTAAGAATTGATCAAAAAAGACATTTAGGTGCTAGGAAGCTGATTTCCCCTTTACGCAAATTGTTTGTTTCTGAAATGAAAAGTAATTCTCTCCCCGTGCAACACTTACTGTTTTACATTCCATTATTTGCTGCATCGTTTTTTACTTCTTTTTATTTTGACACCTGTACTTGATGTAATTATATTATACATGTCTGTTAGAAATGCACATGTTCTTTTGATCAGGTTAGCATGAGTGAAAATGGCAATGCTATTATCTGGGTTAAAAGAAAAGAAAGGTACAGCTTTCACTTGTTTATTTGGTTTAGATTGTACACGCTCTTATATACTGGGAAACCAGTTACGAGCACTGAAGAAGGACACTGGCCTTTCCCCAAGAAACACTTGTGAATCCACCCTGGTAAATTAGCAAAAAAACAGCAGTGGCTTTGTCTGTAGGATATTTTTTCTCTATATTCTTGTTTGAGTGTATGTCCATAATGTTGATGCCTATGTACACACATCACAGACTTCAGCCTCACAAAAGTATTTCCTAATGTACCTTTTGTAAGATACATCTATGGCAGATGTGATTGATATTCTTTTCCCAAGTTCTGAATGACTTCTAGATGCACACTGCCCAAGATCCTGAAATAACTAAACACCGTGATAACGTGTCAAGGTTTAGTCTAAGGGCCATCTGCTAGATCTATAACAGACACTCTGCTAAACCATCTTCCCTCCCAAAGGGGGAGAGAAAGGGAATAAGGGAGAGAGGTTTATGGCTTAGAAAACTTAATCAGCTTTAATTAAAATAATAACAATAAAAAGAAATTTATCCAAATACATATGAAACCAGTATCAAACCTCATCCCCAAGCTAGCAATTACATCACTGTCACCACTGATGATGTGGAGCAGGCACTGGGGAAATCCCAGATTGGACTCTGCAGCAAATGGGAACAAGATTCAGGAGCTGGATTCCAGAACTGGATTCAGGAACACATGGCTCGGGACTGAAGACAGAACAGATGGTGTCCTCCTTGGATGCCAGCCATTGAAAAAGAGAGCTTGACCCTTGCGATCCCTCAGCTTTATACTGAATATGATGTTTACAGAATGGAATACCTTGCTGGTCAGTTTAGGGTCATCTGTCCTCTCTGCTCCTCCATGCGGGTGTGGCCTTTTACTTTCTGCACACCACAATGTGTTACACAAGATTTAGCAGTGACTTTGGTCTTCATACCAATCCTTGGTAGTAACTATAAAATTCAAGCACTACCACTGCTAGAAGCAGATACTGTCTATGAAAATATGCTGTAAACATCAGAAAGTGCAGTTACTTAGAAGACAGCTGAGAAGTAAAATCACTGAACAGAATTAGTTCTGTTCTAACTCAAAGCAGGACATGTTAACACAGTCCTGAAGACAAGAGAATAAACCCTATCTTACATGGTACATTCATATGGTCTCAGTGCAGCGTTAACACAAAAATAGGTTTTCTTGTTAGTTCAGGGATGATTTGTCTATAGTGATACTTCCTATAGAGCAATCATCTATCTCTAATGTGGAGAAGGCTTTTGTCTGTGAATTTAGGCATGTGAAAGACATGAACTGCCCTGTCTTTTAGTGCAGCTTCTGAAGAGACCTAGGAAGTCTGCACCTTAACCTCAACTGAATTTTTGAGACGCCTGTCTCCCTGTCTGTAGAGAGAGCCTACAGTGAATAAACTAATGGAGAGGAAAAAATTAAATATCTTGTAATAATTGGGATATATTTGAGCATGTGATCTATTTCCAAATTATAACTTTTTGTATTTCTAAGATGCAACAGAGATGTGACCATGATTTTTCCTCTTTGAACTCTGTTTTAACACAATAACATCACCCATAATTTTCTTCTGACCATGTGTACGTAACTCTTATTAATAAGTCTGAAAACTCTGCTGCCTCCCAGATCATCTTTTTGTAGCACTAAAATGGAATATTAAACTCTACAGTTCTGCTAGCATTTTTTCCTTTTCTACCTTAAGGTGGAAGGAGCACTAAGTACCTGATTATTTCCATTTTTCTGGTACGGTGTTAACCAGCAGTTTTGTGCAGCCTATTCTATTTTTTTTCCACTGGAGAGTGTGGTGGGTTGACCTTGACTGGACAGGGTCAACCTTGACAGGGGGACGAGAAATGGCAGTTGCAGTAGTTTCATTTCACCTCGTCTCTGCCGCTTCTTCCTCCTCACTCTCCTCTCCTCTCGCATGGGGTCCCACCAACTGAAGACAGTCCTCCATGAACTTCTGCAGTGTAAATCCTTCACACAGTCCACAGTAATTTATGAATTGGTCAAAGATGGGTCCTTTCTATATGTTATTTCCATGGGGTGTACTCCTTCAGGAAGAAACTTCTCCAGCATGGGTTCCCTATGGGGTCACAGGTCCTACCAGGAGCCTGCTCCAGCACAGGCTTCCCAGAAGGTCACAGCCTCCTTCTGCTGGACAAAAGGACATTGGTTTGCTCTGCCATGGGATCCTTCACAGGCTGCAGGTGGATATCTGCTCCACTGTGAATCTCCATGGGCTGCAGGGGGACAGTCTGCATCGTCATGGTCATCATCATCAGTGGCAGGGGAATCTCTGCTCTAGTGCCTGGAGCATCTCCTCTGCCTCTTTCTAGACTAACCTTGGTGTCTGCAGAGTTGTTTCTCTTACATGCTCTTTCTCCTGTCTTCTGACTGATGATGGTGTTGTGGAAGGTTTGGGGTTTTTTTTCTCCTCTTCTTTAATATGTTACCACAGAGGCACTACCACCGTTGCCAATGTGTTCAGCCTTGGCCAGCAGCGGGTCTGTCTTCGAGCTGGCTGCCATTGACTCTGATGGACATGGGGGAAGCTGCTGGCATTTTGTCACAGAAGCTATTCCTGAAGTCACCTAGCTACCAAAACTTTGCCACTCAAACCAAATACAGAGAACCAGTACCTTCTCCTGTGTCTCAGTGCCCTCTTCCATTCTTGCTATCATCACAAAATTTAGATGAACAGGAAAATGGGAAATGACCAAAATTAAGGGTACTGCTATGTTACTAGAGTTCTCAGTTAATAAAAAGAGATCTTGTTTAGCTAATGTAAAGGTAACATACTAACTAAATCTAGTCTGAAGTCATCCACATTTGCTAGTCAGTTAAAACTAAAAACCAAACCAAAAAAAAAAAAAAAAACAAACAATCAGACGTACAAAAAACCAAACCAAACCAAACAAACAAGTAACAACCAAAAAAACACAACACACAACAAACTAATCTATGTTAATAAGGGAGGGATGAAAGCCAGTGTTTAAGCCTAATTAATTTACATTATGAAGTTTGTTCTGTGATGCATTGAGTCGATAAATTTAAAAAAAATAATTCACTTCGGTGGAATTTTCTGGAGGTGGAAGTATGGTTTTTTCTTTCTTCCTTTTTCTTGATTTTGATTTTAGTTTGGTTACTGTTTTAGCCATTATTAGCTAGATCAGATTAGATTGTACAAGTAGAGGACTTCTTATGAAATTAAGTAATTTAAGTTCTCTGCCAGAAAGGAAATGACCATACTAGAGAGAGGTCTTCTATTTCAAATCTGAAGTTTTAAAACATGAATTGATAAAAATGGTCGTATCAATGTGTGTGAGGGGAAAATCTTGACTGTATTTGTATTGTTCACCATTGTCTTTGTAATGGAAGATTAAATCACTAATCATATTGTATTATTTATATTCATTCTCCAAATTAACAAATAAGGTTATTTGGATTCTAAACATTTTTTTTTATTTTTTTATTTTTTTTTTTTTTTTGCCTGCAGGAGTGAAAATGAGTCAATTAATTATGCCTACAAAGTAAATAAGGTTATGTACAAGTCTTATTGTCTGGAAGCAACTGTGACTGTGACACGTGAATCTGATTAAGAACAGTTCAATTTATGAAACGTTTTCAAATTTAGAAATTCTTAATTTGGCACCAAGTTTTGGAAAATAATTTTGATGTGGATGTTCTTATTGTCACATTCCTTACCAGATGACTAAATTACAAATAATAAAAGTGGGGATGTGAGGTTCAAATACACCGTGTCTGATTCAGAACAATATTTTCCATCTCAGATCAGATCACTGTCAATATTTCTTCTGTCTAAGGCTTGTTACCATAACTGTTAAGTAATAGCTGTGTATACAGGGTTTCCCTTCTGTCCTCTATACAGGTTCATCTAAAAATACTTTCTATTGAAATTCTATGGTGATTGAAATAATTTCACAATAGAATGCATCTTGCTAAACCAAAATGTTGGTAACAATGCTACTTATTCTTCCTGCTTTCCCCTTTTAAGGAGAGAGATTAAATGTTTTTTCTTAAAGATGAAATTTTTTCTCTACTCAATACAAATATAAATTTTTAACACTATATTCTACAGGAGTGTATAAAAGCCAGGAAGCTCGGCTAATGCTACACATATATCTCATTAAAGCACCCTCCCATACATCTGTGAGCAAGCTGAAAGAGGAAAAATGGGCTATGGATGGTTTTGTGAGTATAATTCTGTTACAAAAGAGAGGGAAGGAATTTTATTTTTTTTTTTTTTTTCCTTTTAATTTGAAATCGTGCTGGTTTTTTACACCCAAAAAATCCTGAGATGTATCAAAAGGAATCTTCTTAGCAATGCTGATTCAATAAATGAAATGAAGATTTTATTGTAAGATATAGGAGGACACTCTGCGGAAATATATGGGAATAGTCATACTGTGTAACCACAATTATAATGCATGTTAACACTGAAGCCTTTCTCTTAATTTTCTTTTAGTCCAACATATTGAGAAATGTTTTCATCATGATAATATAATATCAATTTCTGATAATAGTATAATATTTGTTATTTATATTATAGACATTTTTATTACTAGGCCAGCACTCATGTTTTACTTTTTGGTGATATTTTTAGAAAAGTCATGAAAAAGCAGAACTGTTAAGTGTATGCGGAAAACAAAATAGATTGCTCCAATTAAGCATTAAACTCCTTGGAGGTTCTGTGACCAATCTTATTCTTTAAAAGAGAGAACACATACTGAGAGGATGAGAGGTGAAAGAGAGGGAAAAAAAGAGGAAGCAGTAGACCAGATGGCTGGGATGTGTTTAAACCATGAAAAGGAAATCCCTTCAGAGAACAGAGAAGACAGAGGAACATTACCCATGCTGGTGATGCTAACGCTGAAAAAGCTGAGTGTACTGGTGGTTTGAGACAGTGTATCCGCCAGAGCAGAAAACAGGTTTTTCAGAAAATAAAGGTTCTAAAATAATTTGGTTGATGATAAACACCTATGGATCACTACTTCACCATCTCATTTTTCAAGGAATCTGTTTTCTTACATTTCATCTACTGGCAAAACACTACAGAGACACCTTTACAAGTGCACATGCCAAAAGAAGAGAAGATACATGCATTGAAGAGTATTCATAAATTTATATTTGTAGAATTTGTGGCACTTTTTCAATAATAGTTTTTTAGAAGTTGCAAAGCAAAAGCAAAGCAAAAAAACCCTAAAACTAGTAAAAGTGTTTAACTCATTAAATATGTACAAACTTTATGTATGAGTGTGGGGAAAAAAAAAAAAAAGTAAAAGCAAGAAATTTGCTTTCAGGCTTCTAAATGTAAAAAAGTACACAGTACAGTCCCTGTGTTCCATATGCTTTTTACATACTAGTTTTATTTGAAATTTCTTTCTTTCTTTCTTTATTTATTTATTTTAAGTCTTGGAATAGCTCAAACAAGCTGCTTTACTCCAAAGCAAGAAATTTACCTGAGAAATTCACCCTTCTTTAAGTGAAAACATAGTTTCAGATCATTGCTGAAGACATACTGTTGCTTTGAGAGAGGGAAGCTTAAGGGAAGATCTTGAAGGAACCTCCCTCATGACCACTGAATTAAAACCTAATAAATACCCTGAGGAGCAAGTACCCATAAATTTGAATACAATGTGGTAGTTCAGAATGTACTTACCCTAATAAGGGAGATATTCTTAGGATTACAACCCTTTTGTCCTTCCCACCAGTCTTTTAGTTTATACCAGCATATTTTACACTTGTAACAATGCCACGTCCAATATTCCTCTGGTCTACAGCTGTATCTTTAAGCAGTTATTGAGATAAGCACTGAGAAAGAACAAAGGAACTAACTGTCCATTGAATGTGAGGTCTTTGTTATTTCCTTTTAAAGTAATTATTAAAATCTCAATGCTTGCAGCCTTAGGATTATGTACAATATAGCTTTTGCTGTCTACTTACTAAACAAATCAGACAGTTATGAAGTATGCAAGATACTTAGATATACTGACGTCTTGAATTTCCAGAAACTTTGTTTTATTGATTTAAAAAAATAATACAGTTAAGCATAGTATAAGTTAGTATATGTAACTATAAGCCACCATGTCTAAGTTGTGACTTTAGTAGTTCTGTCTTTTCTTTTGAACTTTATAGATTTTCTATTAAAAGGAGGGTATTTTTAAGGAGGATGCTACCAGTTAAAAAAATTAGGATATTTTTCTTCCAAGTAATTACTTGTAACAGACTTTTCCCCATTTAACTCAGAGTACTTTTTTTTAACAGGTTTCTAAAGATGGAGCAACATATGTTTTTCAAGGATTCATCCAGGGTAAAGATTATGGACAATTTGGACTTCAAAGATTAGGTATTCAGCAAATTCTTAGTTTTTTTGCAAGTTCATTGTTGCATATTCTGTTTTTTTTGTTTTTTTGTTTTTTTTTTGTCCAGTACTATAAGGGTATTTACAGGATTTTATCAGTATTAACATTTTGTAGACTATTGAGATATTTATGTCTTTAAAATCTCATTTAAGTCGTATGTACAAAGACTGTCTGTCAGAAGTTCTGAAGAGTTGCTTGCAATGTACTGCTTAGTATAGCAATACGTTTGTAATGTTTTGAGGATCGTTTTGCATTGAATATGTGCAAAATTCATGTAGTTTAAATAATAACTATCTAGATACCCTATGTTAGAGAATGCTCTGCTAAACTGATCTTTTCCTCACGGTGCTGAAACATTTCACTGAAACATTTGCTAGAACAATGAAACTACTAAATATTTGCAAGTAAATCATTATGTTGCTCTTATGAAGAGCAAAAACTTACTTACTGGATAAATATTTCTTTCCTAAAAATAGACTTCTTTTTTCTATACATTGAGTTCTACACCAAACTTATTATTTATTCCTTAAGAAGACAGCTCTGGTAGCAGAGCATTGGTAACAATATTCTGCTAATGATACTGTCTTAAGAACTGTATTGATCCTTCAACAAGAACTTGAATTTAGTTTATCCTGAATTCTTGAATGATAAAATAGTATTGAGAATGCAGTAGAAGAGGAAGCACTTTTCACTCATCAAATGGCTCGTTAGAGTGCTTATCTTCAGATAAAAGTAATTGAGTAGCATGTGCTGGGCTAACAGACATATATTATATTACTGATTTTTTATTATTGTTATTATTTTTAGGTCTTAACATGTCTGAGGGTTCAAATTCTTCTAATCATCCACATGGTACAAATAGTAGTTCAGTGGCCATTGCTATCCTTGTGCCTTTCTTTGCCCTTATATTTGCTGGTTTTGGCTTTTATCTTTATAAACAAAGGTAAGTACAAACTATGTATATAGAATTCCTGTATGACTTGGTGTTTTAATTGCCTTCAGTCTTTGCTAGTGTAAATAATATTTTCTGTAAAACCACAAAATGTTTGCAAAATATGCATTTAGATAGTTCTTCCTACTTCTGTTGAGGTCTGGAATAATGACTGAGAGATCAGTTAATTGTACTGTGCTATACTTTCATTCCTCCCTATTTCAAATGTTATAAATTTCTCTTTATGATAACAAAACATATGCTATAAATTATTGGCATATGGAGAATAATATAAGGAATATGCTTTGTATATACTTACAGTAGATTGTTTGTATGACAACTTTTTATGTGTCACAGAATTACAAGTCATATCTTAAGTAATTTATCTGCTGTATTTATTGTCTTGAAATATATGCAAGTATTATGTCATTAAGAAGTTTCTTTATTGAACTGTTTCTGCATCTGAAATTATTAGTCCATACGAGATTATGTTACATAGCCACCAGTCTTTTCAGTTTCATTCGTTTAAGTTCAACAGTTTTGTTCATGTTACTGAGATCAGTATTAACTCTTTTGACTTAGTGTCAAGTACATCTCCTATACTGTTAAAGCATTATATCACTAAAGAAAATTTAATCACTTTAATAACAAGACAATTCTTTGCCTACTAGCTGTCAAAATGGTGATTTATGTCTGGTATCCTGACAATAATAATTGTAATATACTCCACGAGATAACATAGGTTTAAAACACGTACCTTCATATCTAAATGGTACCACTTCTTTTTGAACTTGTTCAGAATATGAAAAAATGCTCAGTAATTTTTTTATATATTTTCTATTAACATTATGCTGTAAGAACTTGTCTTTACATTTTATACTGATAATCAACTTTAGAGTATTCATTTAATGTAACTATATAGATGAAACAATTTCAAGGGATTGAACTTTGAAATTTTGAATGATTTAGTGAAAAAAGAAAATATTTTTGCTGTATATTTATTGTTTATAAACTTGTTGAGTCTCCAAAGTGAAAAAGAATTTGATCCGGAAATACTTTTCGTTTGATCGTCGAAGTGGAAATATCTACCTCTTCTGATGTTGTTAACTAAGTTTGAAGGGAACATGATTTCAAATGAGACATAAATCTCTTAAACTGTGATAAAAAGTGCACTAATTCTTAGCAGAGATATTGTTTAAAAAATTTTGAGATATTGTAATTGTAATTGGGAGCTAAATTCTGTTCAGATTCTTAAACTACACCAAGTCAGTAAGGAAAACAGCAGTTACAAAATACTCTGTCTTTCTTCTACAGGACTGCACCTAAAACACAGTATACAGGATGCTCTGTACATGAAAATAATAATGGACAAGCTGCTTTTGAAAACCCCATGTATGACACAAATGCAAAGTCTGTGGAAGGGAAAGCAGTACGATTCGACCCCAACCTGAACACTGTTTGCACAATGGTATAATGTGGTAATGGTATGTCTTCAAAGTCTAAAAGTTGACACACAACACAGTGCACACACAGTTCACTGAATAAAAAAAATAAAGCAAAGCACACTTTTCAGGATATACTGGGTCACCTTTCCTGACGATGATAGACAAGAATGGGTTGTGGTTATTTTGTTTTGATTTTGTTTTACATGAACTGGATCAGAATTCTTCTTTGTGTGAACCACGGAGAGTTTTAAAAAATTTTGCTGCACTCCATGAGTGCTACTCACAGTTTATTTGCTTTTTTTAAAAAGGAGGTTATTCTAAAACATAAAACATATTTGCATATATTGGAGGAGCATCCACTATCAGTATTTCTGTGCTTTATAAAAACTATAATAGAGGGACTGGGTTAAAAAAAAAAAAAAGATATAGGTAGAAAATAAGAGCTGTATTTACAGGAGACAATAAGTCGCTGACTTCTCTTTAACAGTCATACACTACATCTTTCTCATGAGTTTGTACCTTTTCTCATTTATTCAGTCCATTTAGTATTTTATTTTTAAAGTCCAGGATGTAGTATTTAGAAATTAGCAAGTACAACTTACTCTTTTCACGTCACAGAAGAAAAATTAAAATATCATGTTCTTATTTAGTGAATCTCCTGTCCTGCTTCACTTCTTGCTTCCTTTTCATATTCCAAGCCAAGCTCCTTTCCTCTGTTTCCATTAGCAATACTCACAAACAGTAATGTTTCTACGTTTCTTTTGCCAATCATTCAACCAGACAAATTCTGCAATCAAGACGCTAGTATGAATTGAGCTTTGTGATTTTGTTCCTTTACTGTTAAAGATCATTCAAATGAGTGAGCATCTTACTTTTCAAATGTGAAAATATAATTTGTTTCCGATTAAAAAGTGCAGTTTACAGTAACATTTAGTAATCAAATCCATATACCAAAAGTTTAAGAGTAAATTTTTCAGTCCATGCTAGTTAAATCTAGATTGTATCACGTCACTTTATTCCTTCAACACTTTGCCAAAATGCATGCACAAAGCATGGTGAAATCCCATTGATGCATTCCAACAAACTTCAATGAGCTTTAGATCAGACCTACAAGGCAAGAGGAAGTTATAATTTGGAAATACTGTGTTTTCATGTCTATTTTATTTATATATTCCATTCTTTAAGGAAACAAATCCTTATGGCTAATGATTTAAAATTGAATATATTACCATAGTGCAATGAAAATGAAAATAAAGATATTAAAAAAAATATATATATATATATATATATAAAGCCATGATTTTAATAGGGACAATCCATTCATTTTAGGGACAATTCAGATTCCACAGCCCTCAGCAGATACAAGTTTTAAACATTCCAAAATCACTTCTAAGGAAATATAATTTTTAGTTTTAAAGTTATTTCACATCAGCATTATTCAGTGGCAACTCAGTAATTTATTTGACATGGGTCATTGTCTTCCATTCATAGCATGACTCTCAAATGCTGTGTGTTAGCCAGTGTGAATTATCTGTTATTGTCCCTTTCAGACATCAATAATTCTGTGAAAATCTAAACTTTTTATTACCGTAATAGAGAGTGCCTACCAAAATCATTGTACCCAGGATTGCTGCTTGGATTTCTATAATGTTTGATGAATTTCTTATAAACCATTTTACAACACTTTGTTTTGAATATTCATACAACTCTGTCAAACTGTATTCTACTAAAAGGATGCTGTTCTATATTTTATACCATTGGTTGTTATTTATTCTTGTTTATTCAGATGACTGCAATAACTATGACTCATTCATTAATGTTAAGGTTAATACATTTGAGATGGTTTAAAATGTTTCTTCTGCAACTGGCTACTCCTCTTATATTAATGCATACACTTTTGTAAAGAAGTATATTTTTATGAAAAAGGATTTGTAAAAGTATGATGTAAATTTTCAGTGCAATGTAAACAAAATAAAAATGGACAATTGCTTTTTTTAACAATGTCTCTTCTTTGCAAAATGAGCTTTAAATTAATTTCAGTTATGAAGACAAGAAAATAGCAAAATTAACAATTCAAATCTGGGAATTTTATGGATCTTAAAATCATGTTATTTTTCCTGAATCTTCCTGTGAATTTTTTTGTGAACTAGCAAGACAGGCTACTTTCATAAATAACCAATGGGCACAATGTATCAAAATATCTATTTACTATAATGAATTTTCTGTTTGATTTGAGGAAGCAGAATTACAAAAACAAACAAACAAAAAACCCCAAACAAACAAAACCCCCCTATATTTGTCAGCTCAGTGAAAAGCATAGAAAAACATGATTTTCTTACTTGAAAAAAAAAAAAAAAAAAGAAAAAAGTGCATAAAGTATTTTCTGGCATTAAACAAACAAACAAACAAACAAACAAACAAACCAGGGATATCTTTTAATGACATTGAACTGGTGGGAAGTATCTTAATTATTTTAGTATAACATTAAAACTGTCTTCTAACTACCTCTTTTCCATGTAAGCATGTAAGGTGGATGAAAAATCCTTACCTGAAATGCTATGCATAAGATAACTGGGGGAAAGCAATGTTTAATATTCTTTTGTGAATTTGGTGCTCTGTGTTAACTGAAAAGGCTCACTCAGGCCCACGTTGAAAGCACTGAAGACTGCTGTTAAATACATTGTAGAGAGAAGAATGGGGTCACTTTTTTGGGGGAGTTTTTTTGAGAGGTTTCTAGAAGAAATTGGTTAATTCTGATAAGCAAAAAAATCATGCTTCATAGTGGCCAAACTCCAATAGGCAATCTACTGTCTAAAGTTAAGCTCTTTGGGTCTTTTGGTTTTGGAGGGTTTATTTGTTTTGTTTTGTTTTTACTCTAGTTCCTGAGCTGTTTGAATCATAAATCATTTGTGTGGGTAAACTGTTCAGTTTTCTAGTAGCACTGTGGCATATGGAATTTCAAGTTCTGATTGCTTGGTTGGAGTGGGTTAACACTGTCTATTCCCTGTTTCTTGTTTTTCTCAAGAAAATAACTGAAATTAGTTAAATATTTTGTCCTTCAGGAACTTTGGCTACATTTTTCATGCAGGCCCACTACACAAGAGAAAATGTATGAGAATACAGAGGCTATTGTGCAACTCTATGAGCCGTTTGAAAATAAAGGCACCTTCTGCAGTAATACAGACTGAGGTTTAAAACTTAATTAAGTTTCTATAACCAATATCCACTTGAAGTGCTGGGGTTAAACCCACAGCCCTGAATGAGGGTTGGCATATGGATGATGTCCACAACCAGGCAAGACAGATCCTCCTGATTGCTTTTCACCCAGGGTCTGGCCAGCCTTGGGTGGGAACTGATTAGGAGATCACCACCAGGTGCCCCCACCTTCCACATTAACTTGGAGGCAGGACAAGAAGCCACCTCTGTAAGAGCTGACTCTGCTTGCAGTGTAGTTGGGTGGCTTGCCTACACAATGAATGTGTTGTGTGGGGATTTTGGTTATTGAAAAGGCTCCCTGACTCTTCATAGTAAGTGGGGCTCCCAGGATGGCAAAGCAAGATCGTGAATTTCTGTCTCAGACTAATGACCTGGCTGATTTCATCTTCTACAGCTTGGATCCTTGGCCAGCTTGCACCCTTCTTCACATTCTACGCTGTGAGTGAGTGCATTGACTTATTCCTCCCTCCAGTGGCTTGGCACCTTGGATCTCTGGTATATGATGTAAGATCAGAGGGAGGAATTTGGTTGCTTGCTTGCCCATTAATGATAATATCCTTCCTAGTTGGGGAAGTGTTCAGCAGAAGAGCACTGGACTGGGTAACTCTGAATGCACCGAGACTAGGTGTCTCTGAGATGCATTGTGCCCTCTGAGGTGACCTTATTGTGGCCTTCCAGTATCTTAGGGGGGTCTACAAGAAAGCTGGGGAGGGACTTTTTAGGTTATCGAGTAACAACAGGACTAGGGGGAATGGGGCAAATCTGGAAGTGGGCAGATTCAGGCTGGATGTGAGGACGAAGTTCTTTACCATGAGAGTGGTGAGACCTGGGAATGGGTTGCCCAGGGAGGTGGTTGAGGCCCCATCCCTGGGGGTCTTTAAGGCCAGGCTGGATGAGGCTCTGGGCAGTCTGATCTAGTGGGAGGTGTCCCTGCTCATGGCAGAGGGGTTGGAACTGGGTGATCCTTGTGGTCCCTTCCAACCCTGACAGATTCTGATCTGTTTTAGCAGAGGACTTTAGAGCCCTAAAGGCTCAATGGTTGGACTTGATGATCTTGGAGGTCCCTTCCAACCTAAAGGATTCTATGATTCTATGATTATCTGTGCATCAAGAGTCAACTGGGCCACTGCATTTCATTCAAGTCATACTGCAGTCTGGTTCATTACTGGAATTCAGAAACCACCCAGTATCACCTAAACTCACCAAAGTATCAGTTCTTGTAGAACTACTCGGAACAACTAGACTATCATAAAATAGAGCTAGAAATGTCTGATTTTACTTTTGTTTGTGAAACAGAGCTGACATTATGTAGACATCTTATTCTGGAGGAATTCCTTGGCAAGAATACAAGAAGCTGTTCCTGTCAAGGAAACAATTTATTAGGTACAAATCTTTGAGTTTCTTTTAGAGAGCTAATGGGAAGTGAGTCTATAGCCAAGTCATTAAGCTGTTATTCTAGGTAAAAGACAGTTTTTCTTTTCCAGGTCTTAATAACTCATCTATCAAACCACTAGTACAGTTGTCTGAAGTGTATATTCTTTTCCAGTGTTAGTTAAATGCAGGGAATTCAAAATCTTTGATATCACTGCACAAAGACATCAGAAAATGTGTATCCCAGTGTGTAGATTCAATTGTAAGTTCCTAACTATGATGTGGTTCCTATTCTATCTCAGTTCAAACACAGCAGTCTAGTGCAATAATATACTCTTTTTTTACCCTCTATGCTTCTGCCCATGCCCTTTCTATAAGAGATGATCTGTCCCACAATAATAAATTCAATGTGTTGCAGCTTCTTTATAGGATGATTCAATGCTTCTTTATAGGATGATCACAACTGGAGAAAAAAATGGCTTCTATCATTTGTTATAGTAAAATGTATATTTTGTTAGATTAATTTGTGAAAATATTTTCCAACTAAAAATTGTCAGTAGGGATTGATGTAGGTACATGAGTGTCTGTGATTTCAAGAGGACCATCCAAGCAATGGTAAACTCAGCAACCAAGTTCCAGAGCTCATCTCGTATACATTTTATCAATAGTTTTACTAGGCTTACATGGCACTACGGAAAATCTTAGTATCTCTCAAGACTCTCAATATTTTATTTTATTTTTTTTTTTTTTTGGGTATCTGTGATGTCATTTTGATTTGATCCTAGCTATCAAACAGGCGGAAGAGAAGATAACTTCTATGAAGGGAGCTGTACGTCCATTTTAGGGTAGCATCTTAAATCATACTGATTAGCATCCAGAATTTTATGCTCTACCTACTTGTCCACATTTCTAAGAATAACCATAATGTTTATAGAATGAACTTTGATCTCTTACCTACTACAGATAAAATAATTTATATTCCTAATGTAAAAGATGCCATGTAAGGGAAAATTAATAATATAGTCATCTTCTTTTCCAATACTTAAATGACGAGTTTGTATCTGAACACTCTAAGTCTCCTGTAGTTTTTCATGCAAGAC